CCCCCCCCCCCCCTCCCTCTCTCCCTCCTCTCCACCTTCCCAACTTTTCTTTCTTTCTCATTTTGATAAAATGATTTATTTTCCTGCAGAGTTTTAAGATTATATTTGTCAGGCATGAGTAAAGAGAGCAAAGCTAATAGCCTTGTCGTAAATCATTAATTCCTTTATAACATCAACAACCCGGAATAATAATTTATATTATAATCTGGCCACACTGTGATGTCTGGACAATGGCGGTTAAGAGGTCAACTCTAACCAAAAACTGTCCCCTTCTGTGAGAGTTGTGTCCACTGTTAGCGCTGACCTCCCAGATAGAACAGACTGAGACAATATTATATTATCTTTAGTTTAATGAATAATACAGATATCAGTGCGGCACCAAACAGACATGTTAACCAATGTCTTTTATAATTTTTTTGTTTTACGTGGGTTTTTTAAAACTCTTTGACACCCAGTTTCTACTGAGTCCATAGTGCCGTAAAACACTTACTCAAACAAACAAACAAACCCACTTTCTAAACCGGCGTCTGTGGTGTAGTGATTAGACACTTTGACATCGCATACAGAAGACTCGAGTTTGATTGCCGAGCTGTTGGCACGACGTCTGCCCCTATCCGTGTTGGCTCTGACAAACAGGATAGACGTAGTCTTTAATAATCTAAATTGGGTCGATGGTGGAGTAAAACATGAAAAATTTACTTTTACTCTGACGTTTTCATCCTCTGTTGTCGTTGAGCGTCTATGGGAGAGCGGGTGGCTGGAGGGTGCTGCTAGTAGGTTCTCACTTCTTCGCTTTACCTCTGTTGTTTCTGTCTGTCTGTCTTACCTTTCCAGCACATAATGACCATTATTGTGTCGATGTGCTTCTATTTACTAAAACAAACAAACAAACAAAAAAAAACAACAAACAAACAAAGATGAGGGGAGATGTAATTTTTTTCTATGGTATGCTAACTGCAGATTTTTCAATTATAACATCTCAATTGGAAGCAAAAGATTAACTTTTAAATATCTGTTACTTCTTCTTGTGGCTACAACAGCAGTCCAGCAAACGACCCCCCTCTCTCTCTCTCTCTCTCTCTCTCTCTCTCTCTCTCTCTCTCTCTCTCTCTCTCTCTCTCTCTCTCTCTCTCTCTCTCTCTTTCTCTCTATCTATCTCTCTCTCTCTCTCTCTCTATCTCTCTCTCTCCCTCTCTCTCGCTCTCTCTCTCCCTCTCTCTCTCTTTCTCTCTCTCTCTCTCTCTTTCTCTCTCTCTCTCTCTCTCTGACAAGTCATTTGGCCGACTTGATAGACCCTCTGAGTGGGTGGTTGGCGGGTGCTCTGGTGTGGTTTGCTTCTTCTTTCCTATCAAACATCTATCGTCTTTATCTCCCCTCCTTCTTTTTTTCTGTTTGTTACTCTCTTGTAACACCTCAAATCTTCGGCACTTGTATGACCTTATTGTGTTGCAAGTGTCGTAAAACTCTAACTAAAATTAAAAAGAACATCTGAACTTTTATTTGTGTAGACAAAATCAGTGATGTACCAATAGTCGGGGAATCTACTTTTGTTTTTGTTTTGTTTGTTTGTTTGAGTAAAGAGAAGCACATTGACACAGTTATGGTCATTTAGTGCAGGGATATAATTAGACGACTCTTAAATATTGGCAGCTATGGCACTTTGTTTAGTATATGCTGGGTTTATTCTCTTTGCTTGTGGGTGCGACTTTTTTTTCTAATCAAGTTCATAATGGATTGGGTAGTGGGATTTTTTCTTCTTCTCAAAGCACCAGCTGTCATCAAAATGCACACCACTGAATTCCCTTCATGAGCATAAACACAAATGACCAAATTGCCTCCCCTTGCACGACGTTCGCTACCTCTGTGTCGTCTGCAGCAGTCTCCGCGAGGCAACGTCATCAAACTTCCGGTAGAGGACGCCACGAGCCACTCTTCCGGTAGCACGAGTGACAGTGGCAGGGGCGGCTCCAGCGAGGAAGGTGAAGGTCACAGCCAAGGTCACGCTGTGGTGGTGGCCCTGGCCAATGACGGGGGTGAGTTATCTCCCTGCTCGCCATTATAACCTCTTTTTCCCTTCTCGTCTTGACTTTCTCCTCGCACTCTCCATTCTAGTTCCCGTATCTTTCCACGCAAGCACCTCAGTATCTTATTGAGTTTCGTTCCTACCTTCTTTCGAATCCGTTTTATTCTGTTACTACTAATATGTTTATCATTTTCTTTTGTTCTCCTTCGTTTAGATCCAACTTGCAGCACTTAGCCTGCTCTTTCATTGCATTTTGGTGACGGCTGTTTGCAATCCTGCATCTTTCATATTATGCTTTGATATTACATCGCACATCCTATTATTTTCAAAATCAGCATTTTGTCTTTCATAATTTAATAGACTTTTACGTTTCAATTTTTTAAAAGTAACCAACAGAACCAATTCAATCAAAATTCCATTGATTATTTTCATATCTAACCCAAACGAAAGTTGTGCTAACATAATCACCTACTTAGATAAAAGTGCCGCACTCCGATCGGCGTCAGTTTGAGAACATGTAAGTATGACAGAAGAGAGTCAGCCCGACTGAGGAGGAAACGAATGTCAAGCTTACGTCAGTCAATAAATTATTTTGAGCTTATGTTAGAACAATTGTGCTTAGCTTTGGTCAAAAAACGCAGATATGTACATGTATTTGTGAATGTATAACAATTGCGAAAGAGACAGAACTCTGTAGTTGAAGTCTTTTTTTGAATATGTAACAAGAGGCAGAACTCTTTCCTTAAAAATACAACGTCCTAACTGACATTTTTGGCCGTTTTGAGTTATTAAGGCCAATAGTTCGGAAACCAAATACTCGTTATCAAGATATTCAAATAATTGCAATCTGAAAAGCCTTACATGTTGAGAAAATCAAAATTAGTAACGCCATATTTCTCGTAACTAGGTATTGGGCAAATAGAACTTAATAATTCTAGGGTAGTGAAGTCACAATCTCTCTGATATCAGGATCAAGGCACCCGGCCAAAAACCCACTCCTACCAGCAATTGGCGCTTTTTCAGTGACAAAAAACTGGCAATCAGTGAAATGTACTGTAGATTAAACATTTTAACCCTAATCTCGCCAAATATCCAGCCAGTCGTTGTTTTTTTAATACTGTCCAAACATAAGGGCCTTGAAAATCTAGCTCTCATTGGTAAAATAGATAGGACAACGAACCAGAGGTAGGTCCGGAGCAACTTTTTTAGGAGAGCCTAAAAAGATAGGGGGGGGGGGGGTCAGGACAATATAGCTTTTTTGAGAGCATCCGAGCAAAAGAATGAAAAGCGAACCGTGAACTCCAATATGTACTGAAGATCTGGCACTTGATAATGATGATTCACAGTTCTTTATCAAAATTCCCCAAATCAGAGCGTTCTTAATGAGTTGAAGACTTGAGCAGTCTGATATGAAAACTAGTCTCACGTGGCACACACAGTGCACTCAGATGAGACCTCGATAGCCTGCTGTGGTCACTCTAGTTCCAGCTATCTCCAGGACTATCTGACCCATCTGACCACCGGAACTGGACACGGACATTTCCGAGATGACTTTTGCGGCAGGGAGGCGGGGACTAAATGACCTGATGCACCCTTTACAGGAGGATGTTGTTCTTTTGGTTTTATTCTCTCTCTCTCTCTCTCTCTCTCTCTCTCTCTCTCTCTCTCTCTCTCTCTCTCTCTCTCTCTCTCTCTCTCTCTCT